ACCTGCCAGCCTTGTCCGGGACGACACCACGAATCCTCATCACCGTGCCGACTCGGATGCCCTCGGGCAGCGAGGTCTTGTGGGGCACATTCTGCAGGACCAGCGGTGCGGGGTCCAAGGGAACCAGGGACGCAGAGGAGAGAGACAGATGGGTCAGCCCCAGGGAGAAAACGACCCGGACCCAGACCAGCTGGATCGCTGACAAGAAAGGCCACAGAGAGAGAGGAGAGCCCGAGCCAGGCAGAGGTGGGGAGAGAAACACACAGAATCAACAGACACACACACACACAGAATCCAAAGGCAGATGGGAGCATTGGGTTGGGTTGGGTCAACCCAAGAGCCACAGCCCAGACACTTCCTAGCACACCCTAGCACCCACTTTCTCCTTTCAAACAGGGGACGTCAGGCGGGCCCAGCCCCTCCCCGAGTCCGGTGCACCCTTGGGTCCAAGACCCCCCAGCCCCAGGCCCCCACTCACAGAGCTCCCTGCCATGGTTGGGACGGTGGGCAATGGCGCTGCTGGGGATGCTGCTGGGACCTTAAATAAAAGCAGGGCGTGGCAGGCCAGGCTGACTCACCTCCCCCCCATTTCCACACCCACCGCCCACACCTGGCACAGACCCTGGCCCTGGGGCCACCTGGCCCAGAACCTTCTTTCTGGGGCCTGTGCCTTCCCTCCACTCCCGAGGGTTCCCAGGTGCGCTGCCCCCTCTCCTTTGGGCTAATAATCATAAAGACAGTTCCTAAGGAAATCCTGGGAACTGAGGGGACTGGGGGAGCCAGGGTCTTATCCAGTCCTCTCTTCCCCCTGCCTGGCAGCGAGAAAAGAGGATTTCCCCATTTAATCTCGGGAGCCTTGGCCCCGAGAGGCCGCGCCGGGGGCTGGGTGTCCGGGCCCCCCTCCCAGGCCGGGACCTGTGGCCCAGGGCTGAGGCTGCGACCCCCGACGTGCCCGTTCGGGCCCCCGACCCTGGCAGCATCCGCAGCCGCAGCAGAGGGGCTCCGAGGGGCAGCAGGTTCGCCTGGTGGGCGGCGCTGCGTCCCTGGCCTAGAGCAGTGCCTGGCACACGGGAAGCCCTCCGAGAATGCGGGGGAAAGAAGGAACAGAAAATGCCAACAACACGTGCCATTTCGGAGGCCCCTGGGCGCGGCTGCGCACACGAGACCTCCCAGCGCGCTCAGCTGGAGCCCAGCCGCCAGGGGCGTCGGTCACCCCCAGTCTACAGCCAAGGACACTGAGGCTCAGGGAGGGGAGGCCATTTGCCCAAAGCCACCAAGCTGGGCACTCCCATGTCACTGGGGCTCTGCCTTTCCTCATCTTGGGCAGTTTCTGTCTCGTGTCTTCTGTCCCTGTGAGTGCCCCGGGCCCTCTGGCTCCCTCTCTGTCTCCCAGGTGTCCCTGTCCGCCTCTCTCCTCTGAAGCGCTGTCCTCCTCCACCACCCCGAACTGCTGTCACGCCCCCAGCTAGATCTCAGGTGTAGGGAGGGCAGGGCAGGGGTGTCCTAGGGCCCCCCCCCCACACCCAGACCCAGGTGGACGAGAGCACCGTGGGGCCCTCCTCCACCCAGGCTCGTTGCCAACCCCCATAGCCCAAGACCCCAGAAGAGGAATCCAGGATAGGAAAGGTGGTGGGGGGGGGGCCAGAGGGAGAACGCTGAAAGATGGTTCTGGAAGGCAGGGAAGAGGCAGGGTGAGGCAGCCGAGCAGAAACCCCTCCCAGCAGCCCAGCAGCCCTCCTCCCCACCTGCACCACCCCACTCCCAGCGCCCACGCCTCCCCCACCCCGCAGGGGGAAGAGGCCTGGGGCAGAGAAGAGAACGGAACCTTTGGGTGGAGACACCCAGACTCAGAACCTGATCCACCCCCCGACTGTCCCCCAGGCCTCCCAGACTCTCCATCCCCCCACCACACGAGGCACCCAGGTGGGGGCGCAGTTTGGGAGCTAGGGCCTCAGAGAGGGAGGCTGGGCAGTTGCATTTGGCCTGGGGGGCGTTGGCCGAGGCACCCCCATTTTGCAGAGGAGAACACTGAGGTCTGGAAAGGGGCAGCCTCTCAGCCAAGGTCACACCAGCAGGGCAGCCGCCCGGGGCTAGGCAGGGGCCCGGGGTGGCCCAGGGCTGGGCATCAGGACTTCCATCAGAGGGGACACGGGGCCTGAGGCTGGAGCACCAGCCCCTGAACGGGTCCCGGAACGATGGGTCCGCTACTCCCAGAGCAGGGTGTCCACTCTCTCGGCCTCCCTGTCTGGTGCTATGGATGCCAGCGACTCCTCCTTCTCCCGAGCTCTTCCTTGGGGCTGGCTCTTCACACACCGCCAGCCTGCAAGTCCCAACTCGACTCTGGTGTTTGGCCCAGCGTTTGCATTCGATCTGTTATCACTGTGGTCGCCGGCTCATTTCTCAGAACCCAGAGATGCGCAACCTTGAAGGCTCCTTGTTCTCCCGTGTTGCTATTCTTCATAGCAGTTCTGGAATATTTTCTGGAGCATTTTTTTCATTTCCAAAGCAGTACTGAATGTGTTCATTTCTCAATACCCTTCCTATTTCCTGAGCTATACCCTGCTGTCCTAAAATATGCAGGGTGTCACAGAATGGTGATGAGTTTTGACAGACGGACAGATGCGAGCAACCCCCCCATCAACAGTCCTCGAGCCCCAGAAACAGCCAGCCCCCCTCCCCCTGCCCAGGAAGACGCCGCCATCCCTCGGCATCTCGTGGCTACAGAATTCATTTGTCATGAACGGGAAGAAGAGGGGTGGCCAGCGGGCCGAGTGGGCTGACCTCGCCCTCCCTTGGGACACAAGTCGGGTCAATGAAAAGGAACTCCTGTCCCCACCGTGGTCGTGGCCACTGAAAATCCCAGGCTCTGCTAGCCTCAGCTTGTTGGGGGCTTTGGCTCGTTCTTCACGGGGAAGATCACACAGAAGCTCCCTTGGTTTTGTAAAGGACCATTCAAATGAGGAGAAGGACACCTTGATCCTCTGACTATTTCTTCAGCCCAGAACCCACCGCAAGCCTCCCGGTTCTATTTATAGGTGTAGTAAATTTCACCAACCTGGTCCCTGCAGAGGGGAGGCAGGTTTCTGTCCTGTTTGCTTCCACTGATGAGCTGAGTTCATTAAACTCTCTCCCATACTCCAAGCTGCACGTGGGACTTTACCATGTGTTCAGTGGTAAGTCTTTCCACTGTCCAGTGCATTCTCCCAAGTCCTAAGTGGTCGTTGTACATGTCCATGCCTGAGGTGGAAATCCACTGACTTTTTCTTTTTCCTCTCTTCTTCCATCTCTCCTCTCCCTCCCTCCCTCCCTCCCTTCTTTCCTTCCTTCTTTCCTCCCCTTAGCTGAGGGATTGGGTCCTCCAGCCATCAGGTGGGACGGCCGTTGCCGGGTCTGGTGGGTGGGGAGCTGGGGTGCTGGTAGTGGGCAGGGGGTGCTGTTCCACTGTGGCGTCAGACAGAGCTAATGAGAGTGCTCAGAAGAGTGTGGTCCGCAGGACCTGGGGGTGGGGGATGGGATGGAAATTCAGAGCCTGGGGTTGATTTGGTGTCAGGCCATCCGTCTGGAATGGCTCTCTAGTCTTTCTTTGTCTTTCAGGACCTTGACACTTGGGAGGTTGGAGGTCGATGTATCATGGTCACTAGATTCAGGTTATGCACTTTTCACAGAAGACCCATAGAAGTGACACCGCGTGCATCCTGTCTAGCTGTGCCCCACCTCCCTGTGTCCTCTGGCAGGTGAATTGACTTGGATCATGTCACTAGTGGTACCTCCCAGCTTCCCCACCAGAAAGTCACCCATTTGTCCTTTGTCATTAGCATTTGTGGGACGCACTTGGAAAGTATGTCAGTGTCACTCACATCTGCTGTAGACTGTTTGTCTGCCCCCAAATTCCTATGCTGAATCCTCATCCCCAGTGGGATGGTGGTTGGAGGTGGGGCCTTTGGGAGGAAATGAGGTCATGAAGGCTGAGCCCTCATGAGTGGGGCTGGTGCTCTTATAAAGGGACCCCAGAGAGCTCCTCTGTCCCCTCAGTCATGTGAGGGGGACAACATGAGGACATACCCAGAAGAAGGCCATCCATGAGCCAGGAAGCCGGTTCTCACCAGACACCTAATATGCTGGCATTGATCGTGGACTTCCCAGTCTCCAGAACCATGAGAAATAAATTTTTTTAAACGATTTTATTTATTTATTTGACACAGAGAGAGAAAGAACACAAAGTGGGGGAGCAGCAGAGGGAGAGGGAGAAGCAGGCTCCCCACTGAGCAGGGAGCCCGATGCGGGGCTCGATCCCAGGTCCCCGGATCATGAGCTGAACTGAGGCAGACACTTAACCGACTGAGCCACCCAGGCACCCCATAAATTTGTTTTTTATAAGCCCCCCGGTTGGTGGTATTTTGGTCATGGCAATTCTGACAGAGTAAGGCAATGTCAGTGCGGACTCACGGCTTCCTGTTTTATTCACAGTATTGTTGTGCATGACCCTCACTGTCCCAGACCCGCCTGTGGGAGTCCCTTAGGCCGGCTCATATGCTGTCCCATGCACCCCAGGTCTGTGAAGGCTTCCTTCTTCTCTGACACAGGAAGCTATCCCTGGCACATCCTCTTTGAGCCTTGGAAACAGCCATTTCTACAACTTTCTTTTGTAGAGAAAGGTGCCAGTCCTCAGGAACCAAGATCGGTTCAGTGTCCCTGCTCCCGCGCCTTATCTGGGGCCTGAGGTGGGGGCTGCAGGAGTCCAGACATACCTCTGCCCTCCTAGGATCTTTCAGCTCGGCCCCAGAACTGAACTGATACATCAGGTGGAAAGGAGAAACGCACACAGAATTACATAAGTTGTTCGGGACACCTGAGGCCTCCTGAGGAAACGAAGCCTCAAAGAAATGGCCAAACCCCCATGCTTTTATATTAAGTCCGGGGCACCTGGGTGGCTCAGTCGTTAAGCGTCTGCCTTCGGCTCAGGTCATGATCCCAGGGTCCTGGGATCAAGCCCCGCATCGGGCTCCCTGCTCCGCGGGAGGCCTGCTTCTCCCTCTCCCACTCCCCCTGCTTGTGTTCCCTCTCTCGCTGTCTCTCTCTCTCTGTCAAATAAATAAATAAAATCTTAAAAAATATATATATTAAGTCCAACCACAGAGCGAACTGTGGAAAAGTACCTCATATCGTATGTAGGATGGATAAAGGAAGATAGGAATTACTTTCCCAAGGCCTCTTTAGGTCTCAACTTGCTATAAGAATGTGACTCTCCTGCTGGCTCAGGGCCAGTATCTTTTGGCGGGGGGGACCTTTCCTCTCCTATTTTCAGGAAGCAAGTGGGAGGTTAAATCGTCCTTCTGGCCTCTGTTGTTTGGCAAATGCCATTAGTTTAAAGGAATCCTTATGCTAAAGGGGCATATTTGGGGGGTGGGGAACAGGTGGCCCCATTCAAGGGACAACATGTATTTCCATCTATACTTTTTACACTTTGGAGGTATAATCATCCTCATCCGTCAA